TGATTGCAAGGAAGTCTTAAATACTCATATAAAAACATACTACTGAAAGAAAGCAAGATACTCACCTTTCATCTGCATTCTGCACTATTTTAGTTAGTTAGTTATCTTCTAATCTCCAGTGGATAATTACTAGTGAGGCACATTTTTGTTCCCTCGTCAAAGGGAACAATGTTACTATTTTCATCTGAACAACAGATGGCTAGAGGTTATAGACAAGCGTCTTGATGGAATCGCTACGAAAGGCTCCATAGTGGCAATTCCAAACAACAAGGATTTCATCAATGAAATCTTTTGCTTTTTGCTGCGTGAGTTTCTGACTTGAAGGCAAATCAACACCTCATTTGTTGTCGATCAACAGTTCGGTTCTTATTTGAAAAAAGTACCAGGAATTACGCGAACTCATTTGGTTCGTATTACCAGACATTTATCTCGGTTTGATGGAATGAGAACTAAGTACTAGACAGTCACATACTTGTGACCGGACGGCTTCATCTGCTAACCGGATGGCATGAGTTCTTCTCACTCCAGACTACCAATGCTCTCCAACGAAGATAAAACGGCCTGTACTCTGCAGTTCGGTCATTCCTCACAGATCAACTTCACTCGCAAGTTAAAATCTCTATTGAAATTTTTTCAATCCATCTATTCTCACCAAAGTCTACGTGAAATTGGTTGGAAAGTAGGCACGTTTACTCTGAAAGTTATTGCCATTAGTTTTGGTGGGAAATTTTTTCAATCGGGACTGGCCTGTCGGGGAATGACTAATGACTGTCTTTACTGTTCCCTAGAAGATTTACTTAAAGCAGACTGCACTAACTAGTCCAAAGTTTTGTAAAATCGCCTATGCTGTTTCGTCATCTAAGGCTTGCTTATCAGCCTCTGTCGTTAGTATTACCCGCTTCCACGGAGTAACACAACAGAAGAACAGAATTTCGCCTGAACGAATTAATCTGATATTGTACTCACTCCCCATATCTGCTTTGAAAGAAAGCAACAAATGTAGCTATGCTCAAGAAGTGGTGGTGTCCTGAAGTAAACAACATTTTACATCATGCAGGTTCAGTGCATGGGCATAGGTAAGTATCACGATGAGAATCGTTTAAAATGAAAATGGTTAGCTAAAGCGAGTGTTGTTATTGCTATCTCGATCGAAGTGTTGTCGAAATTAGGGAGAGTTAAACAAAGAAGAAAGGGTAAATCATAGTATCGGAATTAGCATTTAGTAAAACACTCATATCTGTCAGTATGAATGATGTTTTGGTGAACTGGTCTACACAGGGACATCAGGATTTCGCCAACTTATGCTGAATTCTGTAGTGCACCGCCCTGTGGTGTAAGGCAGTTCGAGGTCTCCGATTTAATCGAATGCTTGCGGATTGCTGGATATCACAAGAAAATTGGAGATATCGTGTTTGGGTTACTTTTTTACAGTAATATCCTTCATTGGTCAACCATAAAACAGTATCATCCTTAAAGTACGTGATGACACCTTCTAACAGACTCCCGATATGCCCCTTCCAGAAAATGATGTTTCATACATGTCTGCAATACCACTCACATGACCGACAATGCATATGGGGGAAACATTAGCTGTACGGAGCCCTAAGGTGGCCTATGAGCGATTTGTTGTGGAAAATCAAACTAGAGCATCATTCGAAATGTGGTTTAGCCACCCAGTCTCATAGAATGGTGTGTAGGTGGTCTTATGGACACGTCAGTGGCGGATAACGGATCTAGATAGTCAGTGTACTCTCACAACAGTCAGAAAAATCTAGTGAGCTGTATACGGCTCATGCGTCCAAATAGCCAGTGCTGCGACAGCTATCATTACCCTGAGAACGGATGAGGACGACGCTTCGCATTTGATGCACTCATTTAATAAACACACTCAAAAGTGTTGCAATATATTGACTGCGTATTATAGACGCAAAGCAATGAAATTACTGCTTACCCGCTTACACAAAGGAGCGATTTCCCACGTAATTCACGCACTCGGTGAACAGCCACACAGAAGTAAACGAACCCCTTTGCTTTCACCCGTCAAACCGAGCATATCTCTTCTGCTAATGCGAAGCTGATTGAATTTATAACTGTCAGTAAAGCGGTAGAAGCGGTCCTGACTCCCTAATTCTGTTCTTCATGTTCTCAACATGCGAGCAGTTAACTGGTCCTCATCGGTGGCACATATCCTGTTTGTTCTGTTTGTTCAGTTTGGCATGAATCAACAGAAGCGAACGGTTGATTTTCCTTGTCCAAGAGGCATCGTACTGCTGCTTCACCCTTATTTGGAATCCCCGGTTACGCGCATTTTACGATCCTCGAGGAGATTCGAGTACGCAACCTTTCGACCATAAAACTGTTCGGTCACTGGTGATCACTGTGATTAGATCGCACTTTGGATATGGAGCCACCCATCCTCAAATGACAGAAGTCAGATCACATGGTAGTGCGTTGACTAGTGAGGCCGTCTTAAGTGAAAGGCTCACGAGTCGTGTGAAGTATTTTTCTTCCTTAGTTCCGTATATTTCGCTAATAGTAGCCTCTGAAAATCACTGAAAAGGATGTAGGACGATGCATTTCAGTGTCGAAAATGGCAAAAACGACATTTACATGTGTGAAACAACTCTGCTAGATTTATCTCTCCATCTGAAGATACCCTCGTGGAGGACACCACCTGTAGGGAGATACTACTCTTTTCACAACCTCATGAAGTTTACCTCAGCTGTTGGCACCTTATCAGAAAAGGCCACGTTCTTGGAGAAACCGGCTTCTGTCACACAGAGGGAGACAAATATAATATAAAACGGGTACTAGTTGCTTCCTTCTAAGTGCAATTTATCGTATCAGTTTATTCATTTCAAATTACAGTGAAAACCAGCTTGACCTGCAGATGAGTGTATTTCTAGAAAACAGTGCAATTTGGGTTCAAGAAGATCATAAGGTTGACGGAAACTCGGAGACTGCGCCCACCTGATGAGCCCCAAGAAGAGCAAAACCGGTCGTGGGCTGTCGAAGAGTTTTCAGCAACCTTGTGAGTCGTTTCTTCTATGAAGAAAACCATGCATTCTCATTTGAAACAAAATTGCATGTAACTGGTGAAATACATTCATTTACAGATTACACCGGTGTGATCTGACAATGAGTCTTCAGTCATCCTATGAGTTGCTTGTTCTCCAAAAAGCATATACCATGATTTCTAGGATATCTTGCCAACTGAAATATGAGGCACGCTGCGAACAGCACTTCTGAACTGAAGAATATCTTAGACAATATAATTCTTTTGACCTTTTATTAATACTGCTGTAATTTGCAAATGAGCGTAGTTTGTCAATAATAATATGAACGTAATTTGTTCCAATGAGCTTGCTGCCCAATAAGCTAACATAAACTCCATGGTCTATTCTATATTCTTCGTTACGCGCATCTCACGATTCTCGAAGAGATTTAAGTCCGCGTCTTTTAAGCCACGAAACTGTTCGGCCACTGGTGATCAGTGTGATTAGATCGCACTTTGGATATGGAGCCACCCATCCTCAAATGACAGAAGTCAGATCACATGGTAGTGCGTTGACTAGTGAGGCCGTCTTAAGTGAAAGGCTCACGAGTCGTGTGAAGTATTTTTCTTCCTTAGTTCCGTATATTTCGCTAATAGTAGCCTCTGAAAATCACTGAAAAGGATGTAGGACGATGCATTTCAGTGTCGAAAATGGCAAAAACGACATTTACATGTGTGAAACAACTCTGCTAGATTTATCTCTCCATCTGAAGATACCCTCGTGGAGGACACCACCTGTAGGGAGATACTACTCTTTTCACAACCTCATGAAGTTTACCTCAGCTGTTGGCACCTTATCAGAAAAGACCACGTTCTGGGAGAAACCGGCTTTTGTCACACAGAGGGAGACAAATATAATATAAAACGGGTACTAGTTGCATCCTTCTAAATGCGATTTTTTGTACCAGTTTATTCATTTCCAATTACGGTTGTCCCTACTTCCATAAGGAATGGGATCTTTTTGAATGAATGTTTTCAAAATCATGCAAGATGATGAAGGGAGGAAGCTAGCATGTCCTGTGTTCTGGACTACTTGGCTGGGTTGTGAACGTTGCATTCATATTTATAACCATTTGGGGGGCCATAATTGCATCAGTGACCCTTTTGAGTAAAAGGTGTGTGTGGACAGACCATACAATCTGTGCTTCGCTTTAAATCAAAGCAAACTGAACGTTATTCAATCGTTATCGAAATAATACGATTGACCCCGCCTGTGCGGGGAAACAAATGACAGAAACCGAAAGTTATGCATAGCAGGATTATGCACGGGTTTTGACTCAGTTACGCATCCAGTTCAGTCTCAGGTGAGGCTAGTAAATTGTGGTTTCCCAAAGAGGGTGATATTCCCCACATGATAAAGATAACCCACATCATGAGCTGGGGGCTCCAAAAGAAAGGGGCGACATGTTACCATAGTAGCCTCAGTTCCCCGTTGTGTTATAACAGATAGGTCATTCCGAGTGGGTGGCGTTTTTTGGGCGGATCACTGTGTATGCATAAGGATGCCTAGTCTAGGATTTCTGTGAAGACTTGCAAACTAGTATATTTCTCTGCTGAGTCTTCATTCGCTTTGTATTCCTTGTTGTATAGAGACGTTGTTTCAATATAGATTGTGGTTCAGTCCGCTTTCTCAGAATAGTTGTGCGAATGCGTCCCATTACTGTGTGAAGTAGTGACCGATGGCTCTCTATGGGGAACATTAGTTTCGAATTTTCTTACGGCTGATGGCTGAGGAAGGTCTGGGTTTTGAAATTACTCAGTATAAGATTTATGTGCCTACTTAAAGGATTTCGTCTCAAATGTCTGCTCCTGTTTAAATGCTAACGTTCAACTGAGACCCTACAGAACTCGATCGATAGGTGACTCTTAACTTGTTAACTGACCCCCAGTCGTGGCCCATATTAGCCGGACAAAACTTTGATTTCGTTCCTTTCTCCGCACGCAGATAATCAAAATGCTCACCTTCGTTGTGATTATGTTCGGTGTGTGCTGGTTGCCTTCACATGTGTATTTCCTCCTGTCTGACTTCACCAATCTGATTGACCAGCTGGGCCCGGATAATTCACGAATAGCTTATGGAGTGTGCCACTGGATCGCCATGTCAAACAGTTTCGTCAACCCAATCATTTACTTACTTATGAGTAAATCTTTCAAGGTGAGTTGACCATTTTGCTTCCACTAAATCCGCGTGTAATTTTGGGCTATGAAGTTGAACATAAATGAGAATCAGTGCATCATGGTTACTAAGATAAAGATCATCTTTATTAACCTTTTGTTTAGAAACACCCGGGAATTTGAAGTACAGTTGAGTTCCCCATAGGCCTGTCTGTATGATTTCCGTTAAAAATAGAGATGCTACTCTAGTTTATCATTTATCTGCCCGGTAGTCATTTCGAATGGCGCGTTCATATTGTGAGCGTGCTGGTGTAAGGCTATATTTCAGAAGCAAGCTATTAAACTCCTCATTTCAAGCTTCAGTTTACCACTTTCTGTGGCCCTCAATGAGCTTGTATTGTGTGTGTGCACTTGGGGCTAAATTGTCATCCAAAGTTAGAATTCCACTTTTGTAAACAAAAACCTGCCTGTTTGCAACTCGGTACTATTCTCCAGAATTCTGAACCTTCTATACTTGAGTATCACCAGAACAGCAGTTCCAGGCTTTGCGCTGACAAACTTTAAGACGGAGGTGATGGCCGTGGTGATAGAAAGAGTCACCGCCGTTCCCGACTCAGCTGGTCACTGCTTACGCACAGGACCACCAGCCAAAATATATCTATGCTATCCTGTATAGCAAGTCGTTCGAACCGAAACAGATGGCTGGCCGATTCAGCATCACAAAGTAGATTGGAGTTAGGAATCCTTGTTACCAACGCGAACGAGGACATCTGTCTCGACAGCATGAACGATGCCGCGACGGATGTTGGGCCAAGTTTCTCGATATCAACCTTGGGGTGGCAGCGATGAATTTCTTGATGGTTGGAGGTGACGTGCACTTGCTGTCCTTCGAGGCATTGATGGAGTCCTTCACCACGTCCATTACCGGCGGGTGGTTCGCTGGGATCTTGGGCTTCGTCGACTTGGGTCTCTTTGAAATGGCTGGAGAAGAAGCGGGGGCACTCATTCCCCTCGTGAGACGTTTGCCGCAAACGAAGAGGGTTTTGACGGGCGTGACTCACCCGTAACCCAGCTGCACCGCTAATTGATGGTGTTTTTAAGCAAGTGAATATGGTGCACCAGGAGATATCGTGAAACATTGTATAGACGTAATTCACTACTCACAAGGTTGATGAAAAATCCTCGACAGCCCACGACTGGTGTCGCCCTCTTTAGAGCTCATCAGGTAGGCTCAGTCTCCGAGTTTCCCTCAACCTTTTTAGCACAATTTGGACAGATTTAGACGATTACCCGCATTTGCAAACCAATTTGGTCTTGACTGTAGACACAGGTAAGTCCAGCTGAATCCAGCCAAATCTTCAGTTCATGATGGTCCTCTTTAGCTGAATGTAATGCATCTGGCCACCTCAAGTTTCGTTTGGTATGATATTTGATATGTCGTGGGCTACCATGGACAGGGGGTTCAACTGGATTCAGTTCAGCCCCCTGTCAAATTCAAATTCGTGTGCAAATAAGAGCATCTGTTGAAATCCAAAAAGAGTCTAATTTAGCATATACTGTGGTAAATCAATCCTTTCCGCAACGTCTTACGATTCCAATCGGTCCTGTCTCCTGTCCTATAAAGTGCTGCTGGCGCAGAATTAATTGTTTAGTACCATTCACAGATGTGCGGTTCCGCTCGTCAGGTAGTTTTCCAATGAAGTTCAAAACATTGGGATTTTATATATACTTATGTTATTACACATGGAATATTGTCATACAATATTTCCTATTCCTTCTCTCTATTCAAACAGAATGAATGTAGCTATCTACTTCGTTGCCTTCTCCCGTGCAAAGATAGAGCCCACCAGTGATGAAAATGTAACTGACCTCTCTCGTGAAATTTTCCTTCTTTATTTGCGGGGAACTCCGATATAAATGACAGCTAAAGTCGAGCATATGGTACCCGCACTGGCAGCCAAGTTGGAACCACACGGTAATTTCAATTACGTCTTGTTTGTCGCACAGTTCAGTTTACCTTTTTTCTAGCGAAACCGTTTGAGTGTTCCAACCCCTTCCTTTCTTTTCCTGTCCTGATAAGATAATTTGTGCACTGGTCTCATGTACTACCGTTTGGTTAACATGTGTGGTTCTTCTTCCAAAAACTTTCTTGTTCTTTTGTGCTTTACTGGTTTACTGGACTAATAGGCAGTGCAAACGAGACCCAAGAATGGTCAAGATTTTCCCGGTGATAGATTCGTCCATTCTCACCACAGACTATTTTGAAAACCTCGGGAGAAAAAACTTGCTCAAACCCGTCAAACTGGATAGGATAGTAACGCAACGCGCAAGTGGATTAACTCACCCATACAGCACAGAAACAAAGATATAGCAGCCGCGAATGCAACCAATATGGCCAATAATTCCTTGTCGTGTTATACGATATGCTAGCACCCAACAGAGTACCATTCTAGGTCCAAACCAAGTCAAGTCAAGTACTTGTTTGAGCTCCAGGTAGGAAGTGTCTCACCCAAGCAGTGTAGAAACCCTGATTGAGTTCCGTGTACTACCAGCTACCACTTCATCGAGAAACATCACCCAACCTGTAAGTTAGTTTGGTCTCTTGTAGATTGTATTCTTATGTTGCCAACTAGTTGCGAAGTCAGTACATGTCGTCTGAATTCGGCTACGCGTTGACGTCCTGGCGGAGCCCTAGGCCTGACTTCCGAAAACTCTCAATAATTAACGACATACCTCCTAGGAATTCCACAGGAAGATCTCCAGAGAAAATGAACTCCTGCAAAGAAATATATGGCTCTTTCAGTTTTTTTCTTCGCTGTGTTATTCAGTATAGTTTTGCTCACTATAGTCTATGTATCAAGTACGGTAAAGCGAAAAGCAAATCTCATCTGTGTGATCAGAGCAAAGCTAGCCCGAGGAATGATAACTTCCATCTAACTTGTAGAATGAATCAACGAAAACTTATTCCAATCTACCTTTCAGTTAAACTGGTCATAAGCCCTATTGTCAACTGTCCAGTCGACCTGTGACTTCTATTTAATCAATCACTCGAGTACTTGCCCTACGCTTAGTACATAATGATGAAGCTATCCGGTTCTATATCCGAATAGCTCCCTATTTTGTGGTCCTCTTTTCAATGATCCTACTCAGGATCCCACCTGGACTGTATCACAGAATACAATCAAGATACATTTGTCCTCATCTTCTGCAAGAGATTCAGGATGACTGAACAAGAGAATGAAAGGCGAAAATATTATTCCCGGCAATCTTACATTAACATCCAACGAGTGCTAGAACTCGTGAACATCTGTGATCACCCGCTCCTGAATTGAGACTCACACAGTTTAACGCAGGGCGAAAATCGACTTATGCAAATTGCCCACTCAGGTTTGTTTTCGTTACAAAAATGTTCGTGTCTTGACTGATGTCGAATGAGAAACACTGAAGCAATCAGTTTCTCCAGTTATTAATTACCAATTGCCAACTCTTTCTAATGAGATTCGGATGAAGCACAGCTATTCATGAATCTTGCACTTCATATTGGAGACCACATCCTTTGAAAACGAATCGTTCTAAACTCTGATGCACTTATTGACTGAATCACCTGCTCGATGGGTCCAACGAAATGCGCTTCACTAAGGCTCTAGTGCTAGTCGTTTGAAGGAAGACGCAGTAGTTCGTTCTGTGATGCCGGATCATTTCAACAAAACTATCTAGGGGGAACTTAGCCATGACTTCTTCCATGTACCATATTGTGCTTATGTACCACACAACAGTATGGTCATTACGGCTGCCACGCTTGCGCCCACACACCTGCCTTAGCATCAGTGGCAAATATGAATGGATATACGGAACACTTTACCCATAAGCTTGTTGAAAACTCTTCTAAAGCTGAGATTCCGTTGGGTCCCCCACCAAAACCAAATTGGTGTGCAAATGAATGCAGCTCGTAAACCTCGTAAAATTTAGGCTCAAGTAGAACATACGGTTGACGAATACCCGTGGACTTCGATTACCCCAACAAGGGTAAAACCGGTAATGGACTGTCGAACAGTTTTCAACAACCTCACGATTATTCTTCCCTCCGGACAATGGATATCCCGAGCACAGTTTCAGCGGAAGCATGAAGAGATCTTTGTAAAGCTCATTCAGTTGAATAATACAGCTGAGATTCAATATGGTCCCCCAATGAAACCAAATAAGTTTGCAGATAAGCGCATTTCGATGAAATGTGTTTGTGCTTCAGAGGAAATTAGCGAACTCTAAATTTACTGCTTTTGGATGCACAAATAAAAATTATGCTTGAAAATAAAGGAGCAGGTTTACCGGAATACTTCTCACTTGAAAAGTGTGTCAGCTTGACCTCTCTCGGGAATTCAAACTCGAGTTGGCAGGCTCCCAAGTGCCGGCGTAACTATTCACCAATTACTGCGTCATTTTAACTCTGTCTGTACCCAACATTGCTGAAGCACTCTACCCCACGCATACTTGGTAACATTTGGTGAACTAAATGAGTGCCCATGTTTCTCCATTAAACTGAAAACGGTTGGGGTTATATCGAACAACCCATTGAAGCGTACGTTCTTATCTTTCTTTTTAGTGTCCTTCAAAACCCCTAAAAGGTGTGATCTTCATTCATATGTAGTTCAAGAGTGACTACCCGCCAAATCTATCATTTAAAAAAGTAGCGAGTTGGTGGTTTGGTTTTCACCATTCTACCGTAATTTCCTGCTCCACCCATCGACATCAAACAGAATAAAGTAAAGCACGGGCGACCCAGTGGACAAAAGCACCACTCAGCCGAGTGATATTTACCGAGAAGCGCTTCAGTAGTATTATTAAAATTGATCCATTCCATTGCCACATGCCTTGCTGAAGAGATGGGTTGCTGCTTACTCGATAACAATTTGCGCTTCTGTTCGGCGTCCACACAGCGGTATCCACCATGTGTCGCGGTTTCCGCACGCGCTTTATGGGAATCATTTACAACCAAAGCTCACGCACACAGCGTTCAGCTGACAATAAACATTTTCAACAACCTCACGATTATTCTTCCCTCCGGACAATGGATATCCCGAGCACAGTTTCAGCGGAAGCATGAAGAGATCTTTGTAAAGCTCATTCAGTTGAATAATACAGCTGAGATTCAATATGGTCCCCCAATGAAACCAAATAAGTTTGCAGATAAGCGCATTTCGATGAAATGTGTTTGTGCTTCAGAGGAAATTAGCGAACTCTAAATTTACTGCTTTTGGATGCACAAATAAAAATTATGCTTGAAAATAAAGGAGCAGGTTTACCGGAATACTTCTCACTTGAAAAGTGTGTCAGCTTGACCTCTCTCGGGAATTCAAACTCGAGTTGGCAGGCTCCCAAGTGCCGGCGTAACTATTCACCAATTACTGCGTCATTTTAACTCTGTCTGTACCCAACATTGCTGAAGCACTCTACCCCACGCATACTTGGTAACATTTGGTGAACTAAATGAGTGCCCATGTTTCTCCATTAAACTGAAAACGGTTGGGGTTATATCGAACAACCCATTGAAGCGTACGTTCTTATCTTTCTTTTTAGTGTCCTTCAAAACCCCTAAAAGGTGTGATCTTCATTCATATGTAGTTCAAGAGTGACTACCCGCCAAATCTATCATTTAAAAAAGTAGCGAGTTGGTGGTTTGGTTTTCACCATTCTACCGTAATTTCCTGCTCCACCCATCGACATCAAACAGAATAAAGTAAAGCACGGGCGACCCAGTGGACAAAAGCACCACTCAGCCGAGTGATATTTACCGAGAAGCGCTTCAGTAGTATTATTAAAATTGATCCATTCCATTGCCACATGCCTTGCTGAAGAGATGGGTTGCTGCTTACTCGATAACAATTTGCGCTTCTGTTCGGCGTCCACACAGCGGTATCCACCATGTGTCGCGGTTTCCGCACGCGCTTTATGGGAATCATTTACAACCAAAGCTCACGCACACAGCGTTCAGCTGACAATAAACATGCCACAATTATCGAGGAATACACTCATTTGCAAATCAATTTGGTTTTCACAAGAGACTCCACTGAATCTCTCGTTTATGGTAGTCTACAACTGAAAGTGCTGCACACAGGTCGCCTCATGTTTCAGTTGGCACGATATTCGAGATATCGCAGTATATTTTCATACTCACAAGTTTGCTGAAAACTCTTCGATAGCCCACGGCCGGTTTCGCCCTTCTTGGGGCTCATCAGGTAGGCGAGAGATTCAGTTGAGTCTCTCGTAAAAACTAAATTGATTTGCAAATGAGTGCATCTCTCGAAAACAGTCCAATTTGGGTTCAAGTAGAACATAGGGTTGACGGAAACTCGGGGACTGCGCGTACTTGATGAGTCCCAAGAAGGGCGAAACCGGTCGTGGGTTGTCTAAGAGTTTTCAGCAACCTTGTGAGTGATTACCCTTATGAAAATGCTTATCATCTCATCGAAGACTGATCGTAACCATGTGCATTCAACTCTACAAGTGCAAGGCCGTGATTCCTCCAAAAAGGGTTGCTTATCACTAGCCAACGTCTAAGAGTTTTCAGCAACCTTGTGAGTGATTACCCTTATGAAAATGCCACAATTATCATCGAAGACTGATCGTAACCATGTGCATTCAACTCTACAAGTGCAAGGCCGTGATTCCTCCAAAAAGGGTTGCTTATCGAAATACTAGCCAACCAGCTTCCGAGGCGTAATAGCCTATCACAATGTGAGGAGAAGATTGCTGTCAGATCACTGACAGATACCTTAGTCCCCGCGGAGAAAGCATTTAGGAAAGGATTGTCCAGATCTTTCCCTTCTTCTTGGGAACGATTACAAAAATGGATAGGCCTGCTTACCTTTCGAATTCGCTGGTGCAGAACTCACTTGTACGTGGGTATTTTCAGCATCTTCTCTTTCTGATAAAAATATTAGCCTTTTTGCTACTTTTCTTTGACGTTTTGCTGATCCATTCATATCTGATCTGCTTGAGAGTGGCAAAAACCAATCAAATAGGCAATAGTGTGACATAGTTTACGCCTTTCACTTGGTTGATACACCACCATTCAATTTCGCAGTGGCAGAAATATTATCACAAGTCTTTTGTGGTTACGAGCTGTGAGTTGTGTGACAGTCATTCTAACAAGCAGACCCCACCTGGCCTAACAGTCTCACTTTACTCGACGCCTCCTTGCGCTCACTGGTAGTCCAACTGATGAAAATCTTAAATCAATAATCTCGCGGTTCTTGCAAACCAAAAAACTTCAGTTTTTCAGTCAGTCACTTTGCGTCCACAAAGCATCTTAGATGAATCGTCGGGATAAGGCGGCATACCACACTCTCAGCTCTGACGGACAGACCAAATAAACAATGTTGCAGTGTTGTTGTGCAAGTAGCCGAAGGTGACTTATTAATGTTACGCTATCGTAGCGAAGGAATGAAGCAATGTGACGAAACCGCAAAAGACCGTCAGATCATTGCTTCAGAATGGTGATGAAGCGAATCAAGAGGCAACAGGTATTCGGAAAGCAGTGGCCAGCTTTTGGAGATGGGAAATGACAGCGAACTGCAAAATAGTACATAACGACTTGAGAAGGGAAGGCAGTGAATTTACGCAACGACTGAAGCAAAAGCTTTCCGCCATGTCATGAATTAGGGTGATCAACCAGCAAGAAATGGAGATACGCGCAGAAACGGCCGAGGTATCAGTTCATCACAGAAACCATGAGAACAATGAAGGTAGCGAACAAAATGTTTTCTGTTATTGGTCCTCGTAACTAAAACATCACAAATTTATATGGTACCAGAAATCACGTGAAAAAGGTCAAAATCGGGGGTACATACACTTTAGAGGAACAGAAATCAAAGGAAAAGGGGGTTGCATGAGGGGTAGGTCAATGGGTCACGGAATCACGTAATTGACATCAATGTCAGACAGGCTTGTAGGACCGGATCTATCGCAGGCCAGTCCAAGTTCAGAGGTCGCACAAGTTTCTTTTGGACGCAAAGTTGTGGATCCAGCAGTCGGATTCCAATCGCCGCTGTGATCAATGGTAGTCTGGATCGTACCAGCCGTGGTCGGTTCAGAGGTACCCGGTGCATGATAGTGAAGGCTTGCTCTCTGTCGATGACATGACTGGTCTCAGCCAAATGTGATGCAATCGCACTTGAGCCTTGTTTCTTCCTTGAGCCTGGTTTCTTCCACCCAGTAATAAGAGATAC